CGAGCTTTGCTTGCTTGTTCCGTCAGGAAGGCTTGATGTTTTCGATATTCCTCCAACTGTTGCTCCCAAATTTGGATCCCTGCTGCCATATGTTTCATCCATAAGGCGCGGTGAGCACGTCGATGATCGGAGACTTCGCTCAGATGATCTTTGACCTTCCCTAAATAGGTCGTGGCTTGGTGGAGGTTCTTGATACCTTTCCTCCCATGATCCTTCTCCGCTTTCTCTACCAGAAGCTTGGTCTCTTCTGGCATCAGGGTCGGATCTGGATAAGCCCTCCGTAGCGCATCCACCCATTCCTGATCCTGCGCAACCAGAGATGAGCTTGCCGCTGCAAATGGATTGGGAGACAATGTTGAGGACGGAGTGAAAGCAGACGTATCCATCGCCGCCCATGGCGCAAAGTTCTTCGCCTCTGCTTGGAACGGGGAAGTCTGATCTTCCTGCTTGGCCTGTCCTTTCCCTTTCTTCCCTTTCTTCCCTTTTGCCGCACCCTTGGCCTTGGCCGGCATCTGAGAGGAAACAGCACTTTGTCCATAGGCTTGATCTGCAGCACCAAATTGACGCCTGCTTGCAGAGCGACTGGAGGAACGTGAGTGGTCCTCCCAGTTGCCCCAGTCGTCCCAGCCCTGTGAATTCCAACCATAAGTCGCCTTGCTTTGGGCCTTCGGTTGGGTAGGGTGACGGGTCCCTTGTGTCCAAGGAGCATAGCATACTGCGCATTCTGCATGCCATTTTTTGTTGATACGTCCGCACACACATTTCCATGGAAAATAATCTTGATTTGCATCTCCTGCATACTCCATATTCATCACTTGGGTAATTCGTGAGACGAAATTCGAGTCTCGACTGTGATGGTTTGAGAGGATCCTGCGAATCCTTAATAAGCCAATCTTGCTCAATGCAATATAGCCCTTTTTGTAAAGAAACCAGTTCCTTCGAGCTTTTGCTCGATCCCTTCGCGCCTTCCGGCGAGTGGTATTGGTCGCGGTCAGAATTCTGAAAATGGAAGATGAAAACAATCAAAATCAGAAAACAATGACGCAAATTGTACATAAACCTCCGGAATGCCAAAATCCACAGAGAAAAGGACGCTGCAATAGTAAGCACAATAGCAGGAATTCCCTGAGAAGATGTAGAGGCAAATGCACAGAATGTCAATCTTTTTCACGAAGAGGAAGAAATGCCAGGGCAAACCGTACAGCGATCCAAGTTCGATCCAAAGATAGAATAATCAAAATGTAAATTGAAAACACCAATGGTACAATGACAGCAAAGGTGAATTGCAAAATCAAAATTGAAATTTACCAATGTAGGCCCAAAAAAGGCAGCTACCAAAGGTACACCAAGGGTTTTATAGGTTCACCCCAAACCTGAGCTCCGACAACGCTTGCAGAGCCCGCGGGTTAGGCCAAGAAACCCGCTAAGGCGATGGCGACGCCCCAAACGAAAGACAAAACGAGGGGGGCTTGATCCAAAGCCTTACAGACATACACAGAAACATAAACATATGAAAATACATATTTATTTGTTTACTTACATCTTTATTTATAATGAAAAACACATTTATAATATAGATGGGGTTCGCGGGGTTCGCGGGGTTCGCGGGGTTCGCGGGGTTCGCGGGGTTGGCGGCTTGGCTGGGTCCTCGGGGTTCGGGGTTCGCGGGTCCTTCCCCCCCCTTCGTTTCGCCTTCATCTTTCCTTACGTGGTGGTGGGTTCAACTCTGCCCACGCCTTGCTCAACACCGGCTTGGAGTTTTGCACATTTTGCTGTCATTTCGATGGTTGTTTCCGTTCTTGTGTTGCGTTTGTCATCGGTTTGCTCCGTCACTGCTTCTATCCAATACTTGATCCACCGGCGTTTGTGCCGAACACCTTTTTACACGCATAATCTTTCTCAATATGGCCTTTTCCAAAACCCTGGTTTACACACATGCTTTGGTTTAAACGTACGCCGTGGTTTGAACAAAACCAATGTTTTTGCGTCCAAAGCCTCGCACAAAGAGTTGTTTTAGTCACAAAAAACCATGGGCCTGAGGGCTGTTTGCATAGCTTCGGGAAGGAGAGAAATGCGAAAGGCGTAAAATGGCGTAAAAAAGAGGTAAAAAAAGGAGTTTAAAAAAAAGAGGTAAAAAAAGGTAGAAATCGGTAGAAATCGGGTGAAAGAAAGGAGGCTATGTGCGGTGCGCAGTGCGACGGGACGTCTGAGGTTTTGGCGGCAGGAGGCACTCCCGGCACACCAGGCACGCCTCACAGCGTCCGTGTCTGACGTGTCACAGACGTGCCACATATGCAACATATGCATCACATATTATTAATATGTCACATATATATTCACATATATTCACATATATTCATATATATTCATATATATTCATATATATTCATATATATTCACATATACTATGCTATATATTTTCAGTGAAATTAAGTGAATCGCTAAAATCATCTAAAATCCGCTCAAAGCTGTAAAGCTCTAGCTGTGTCAACAGGCCCTGTCCTGTGACGCAGAACTGCGGTGAACTGCACAGCACGGCCAAATGACCTTGCGGCGTCTCTCCTGATCCAAATGAATCAAATTAACATAGACATAGATGGCATAGATGAACAATAAACATCAAAAAACCCTAAACAAATTAAACATCTGATCACCGCAGTCAAGTTTAGGTCACTTTAGACCTCCAAAATGCTTCAAGGTCCTCCACTGAATGCCACATTCGCCACATTCGCCGTCTCCCGTTCCCTGAAGACATCTCGCCCTCGGCGTCCGACGCCACAGCACTCAAATCGGCATCGGTGAAGAAATTGTGTGGAGAACTGTTTTGGCATGTTTGAAACCTGCTTTGGCATTGTGCAAAACTGTCACTGTGTCGAAACCTGTTGCAGGGACCAGACGCTGCGAAATGACCTGCCGCGATCAGACAAAGAAAATATCATGGAAACAAACGCAATGATCACAAAGAAAATATATGATAGGTCTGAATGTTACATTCGGGGTCACTTTGAGTGCTACTTTCAATATTACGTTCCGTGGTACATTCAGGGCGCATTACTCTCAGTGTTACATTCAGGTTTACTTTCAGTGATACAATCAGTGCTACTTTGGTTACTTTGAGTGCTACTTGCAATATTAGATTCTGTGGTACATTCAGGGTTTCTTTTGGGTCACTTTCCGTGCTACTTTCAATGTTACTTAATTTCCAGATCACAATGCTATTCTCTGTGTTTTTTTTACCAGGGCTCCTTTCAGTGCTGGTTTCTGTCGGTGTTTTGTTCTGTACTACTGTCGGTGTTACTTTCAATCCTGCCCCCACGGTTACTTTCAGTGTCATCTCCTTTGTTTCTGTCAGTGTTGTGGTCGGTACTACTTTCAGCAAGACTTTGTGTGTTGTGTTCTTTGTTTCTGTTGGCGTTATGTTCGGTACTACTGCCGGTGTTGCTTTCAATGGTACTTTCAGCACCACCTTCAGTGTTCTGTTCTTTGCCGCTATCTGTTTTATGCTCAGTACTACTGTCGGCATTATTTTCATTGGTACTATCAGCGTTGCTTTTGGTGCTTATGTTCTTTGTTGCTGCCGGTACTATGTATGGTACTAGCGTCGGTGTTTCTTTCAATGTTGCAATGTTGCTTTCGGGCGCTTCTTTCAGCATTGTTTTTCAGTGTTTTGTTTGCTTGTTGCTACTGTCGGTGTTGTGTTCGGTACTACTATCGGTGTTACTTTAAATGTTAACCTTCAGTATCCTTCAGTGCTACTTTTGGTGATAGGTTCTTTGTTAATGTTGGCGCTATGTACAATGCTGTTGTTGTTATATACAATGCTGGTGTTGGTGTCCCTTTTGATATTACTTTCAGCGTTGCTTTCAGCATTGCTTATTTTGTTATGTTCTTTCTTGCTGTCAGTGTTGTGTTCAGTACTCCGGTCAGTGTCCACTTTCAATGTTACTTTCAGCGTCTTGTTTTCAGTGTGGTGGTCTTTGTTACTGTCGGCATCATGTTCAGTACTGCTTCCGTTACTTTCAATGTCACCGTCAGCGTTAGTTTCAGTGTCATGTTCTTTGTTGATGTCAGTGGTATGTTTGGTACTGTTGGGTGTTACTTTCAGCGTTTCTTTCGTTTCTTTCGTGTCACTTTCAGTTTCGTATCACAAAGTGACCCAAAGGTTTGTTCGCAGCAGAAAAGTCGCTGATTTCAGGTCCAGGTCCAGAAAGTCGCTGGCCGCACTGGGCCGTTCCGGATGCTCAGAGCCTCATCGCCTGACACACATTTCATACGTTTCACATTTTGTACAGATTGTACAGATTGTACAGACTCCACAGACTCCACATACACAGTTTCACATCTTGTACATATCTTATACATGGTACACATCCAAGTCATCTAAGATATGACACTCATGTCTTGACATAACATGATATAACATGTCCATCAGTGTCAATAGCGACGCGTCTGGCATTGGTTCCCCCGTTCTCCTTATTACAACATCCAAGAAGACAGACTTCTTCAAACGTTTGAGACATTTTGAGACATTTTGAGACATCGTATTTTTTTGTATCACTCCGACTTCGCTTTCAGAGATTCCAGAGCTTGAAGGGATCCAACAAGTCTCAGATGTCTCAGTACTCACGGACAAAACAGACTCAACGGACGAAACGAAGTCGGATTTGGTCACAGAGAACTCGAAAGGTCTTTGGTCTTCGTACCTCTTGGACACATCCTCAGCCGAGAAAAATATCCATGACCATCATGACCATCATGATCATCATGATCATCATGACCATCATGACCGTCATGACCATGACCCACGCAACAAATAAACACACAGAGGTTCTATGACACCATGAAAATCCCTCTGAAGATGTGTCACATGCTGCAGAAAATGATCCTTAAGGTTTAGAAATGTATTATACATGTTTAGAAACCGTTTAGAAACCCAAAGCTGCCAAGTCTGCCAAGTCTGCCAAGTCTCGATGCAAAACGTGCGTCGAAGGTCGACATGGTCGACATGGTCGACATGGTCGACAAATAGATTGAAGAGATCGGAATCGAATAATCGACGATCGGAGGTCTGGCGCCACTGGCGCATTGCAATGGGTCAAACCTGGATGCATCGGCGATTGCTGAATCTCAATGCTTACATTGGCTTACATGAAGCCACGCAAACAAGGTCAAGCAATCTCTTGACAAGTCAAAGGAGGTTGGAAACCGACCAAACCAACTTCAAACCATGCATAACTTCCATAACCAACAACTTCGACTCATCAATTCTGCATTTGAGAACCTTGTCGCATCACGTTGCCCTGCCTGTCCATTGAACGTGCTCGACTCACCCTGTTTCGGGCCTAAGCGGATAGCATGACTCAGCATGACTCTTCACAATGTCAGAAGTTCTTTGTCTGTCCAATCTACTCCAATCAAATGTTACCTCAGCTCATCCGAGCCAGTCCATTCCTATCCCATCTGATGGGGTGTTCAGAGGTTACAGAGGTTACTGAGGCTTGGATTGCACACCGCAATTGATCCTCTAGATCCTACAATATCCTACAGCTGATCCGCTTTCCGATTGCTTTCGCTTACGGGACCTGGCAATTCTTTGCACAACGAGAAATGATGCCCCAAAAAACGAAAAAAACAATGCTTTCATCCAAACGCTCAGACATCTTGCTATTTTCATGAAGGTTCCCTCAAGCTCTGCAAATTCAAGATGTCCATAGCACACTCAGCCAATGAGTCTGGGATCTCATTCTGGCTTCCAAAGACTTGCTGGCGCAGGTGCGGAATTGACTCTGCATTTGTTGCGCGTGTTCCTCAATTTGTTTAAAAGAAAATGTATGTGATAATCTATGAGAATAGTGTGTGATCTTGCGTGATCATGTGTGTTTTCTCTGATATCAACGTTATGCCCTTGTTCATAAAGCGGTTGGAAAGTTTCAAAATGATTCTGCCCTCAATATAGTTGATGAGTCGATGCTCCAAACTGGATGGTTCTCAGCGCGCTGCCTTTTCTCGCATGTTTGTGTCTTTTGGTCTTTATGCGACAGTCTGTGGTATTCACTGTAGTTTCAAACTTGTCCAATGGGTTTATCCCTGCTGTTGCTGTTTGATGTTGGATTTTGTGTTCCTTGGCATGTGTGTTGATCTTGTTTCTCACCAATGTTGCGCTTGCTTGCACAATGTTTGCAGCACATTGAAGGTTGAAACAAGGTGAGCCTCTGATTTAAACAGTCATTGCAGCATTTTGGCGCTGAAATATCTCAATGGTTTTCGCAGCCTGAGCTAAAGTTCCTTCTCTTTTTTTTTGTTGTTGTTGTTGTTGGATGTTGGTTCCTGTTGTTAACTGTTGTTCTCAGTATTGTTGCTACCCTTCTATTCGTTGGAGGTTCCCCTTGTCTGCTCAATAGTTGCAGCAGATTGCCAAGAAACCACAAAAAAACAACAAAAGCCAACAAACCAGGAACCACAAAAATTTGAGAAGCCAGCAAGCCAAAAGTCCAACAGCAACCACAGCCCAGAAACCAAGAAAACGAAAGCCACAAGAGCCACAAGAGCCGCAAAAGCCAAGAAGCCACGAGGCCAAGAGGCCAAAAGTCAGAGACGATCCCAGACTTAAAAACAAAACAACATACAGAAACACCCCTCCATACAGAAATCTACAGAACACATCAACCAATGTGTACCACGTGTACCGTACATCTGCTGACCACGTGTTGAAAATTTTAGCACAGCGCCAAGGCTTCCGCGTCCAGACTCGTGGCAGGAGGACCTCGAACCCAATCGCTTGGCATCACTTGTCCCATCTCGTCGTGCTCAGACGTCTGAAGTTTCACCATGTCTCACTGTGTTTTCGTATCTTTCCATGTTTTTCCCACTTTCTTCCATCTGCAGGTTTTCACCTTTCACATTTTCTTCTCCTCCTGGTCTCCTGACCCTGACTACCTGCAAAAACAAACGGGTTGCCGGTAGCCATTGACGACTGCAAAAACAAGTCAATGGCTACACAATGGCTATGCTTCATGTTTGGTAGACTTTTCCAACAGTGAAGCAAACGGTTTGAATAAGTGCTCTTTGGTACGATGTCCTATTTTCACCTACCAAAAACCATCATCAAACATCAGCTGACACTTCATTGCACCGTTGGCATCCTGAACTGACATAGGTTTTGAAACCAAACACATCCAAACACCAAATTTATGCGGCCACCCAAAATACCACACACTCACGGCCACATAAGGGTATCTAAGGGTCATGTTCAAGGCAAGAAATTGCGGTTGGAGACTTGTGACCACAATTTAGAAAACGTAAGATTCAGAATGTCTTCGATTGTTCGATTTTCACCTAGTTTTTCAATGTTTTTCATAGTGTTTCATATTGTTTCATATTGTTTCATATTGTTTCATATTGTTTCATATTGTTTCACATTGTTTCATAGTTTCATATTGTTTCATATTGTTTCATATTGTTTCATATTGCTTCATATTGTTTCATATTGTTTCATATTGTTTCATATTGCTTCATATTGCTTCATATTGTTTCATATTGTTTCATATTGTTTCATATTGTTTCATATTGTTTCATATTGTTTCATATTGTTTCATATTGCTTCATGTTGCTTCATGTTGCTTCATATTGTTTCATATTGTTTCATATTGTTTCATATCGTTTCATATCGTTTCATATCGTTTCATATCGTTTCATATCGTTTCATATTGTTTCATATTGTTTCATATTGTTTCATAGTGTTTCATAGTGTTTCATAGTGTTTCATAGTGTTTCATAGTGTTTCATAGTGTTTCATAGTGTTTCATATTGTTTCATATTGTTTCATATTGTTTCATATTGCTTCATATTGTTTCATATTGTTTCATATTGTTTCATATTGTTTCATATTGTTTCATATTGTTTCATATTGTTTCATATTGTTTCATATTGTTTCATATTGGTTCATATTGTTTCATATTGTTTCATATTGTTTCATATTGGTTCATATTGGTTCATATTGGTTCATATTGGTTCATATTGGTTGATAGTGTTTCATATTGTTTCATATTGTTTCATATCGTTTCATATTGTTTCATATTGTTTCATATCGTTTCATATCGTTTCATATCGTTTCATATTGTTTCATATCGTTTCATATTGTTTCATATTGTTTCATATTGTTTCCTATTGTTTCGTATTGTTTCGTATTGCTTCATGTTGCTTCATGTTGCTTCATGTTGCTTCATGTTGCTTCATGTTGCTTCATGTTGCGTTTCATATTGTTTCGTATTGTTTCGATATTGTTTCATATTGTTTCATATTGTTTCACATTGTTTCACATTGTTTCACATTGTTTCACATTGTTTCATTTTGTTTCACATTGTTTCATTTTGTTTCATATTGTTTCATATTGTTTCATATTGGTTCATATTGTTTCATACTGTTTCATACTGTTTCATATTGTTTCATATAGTTTCATATAGTTTCATATAGTTTCATATAGTTTCATATAGTTTCATATTGTTTCATATTGTTTCAGATTGTTTCAGATTGTTTCATATTGTTTCATATTGTTTCATATTGTTTCATATTGTTTCATTTTGTTTCATTTTGTTTCATTTTGTTTCATTTTGTTTCATTTTGTTTCATATTGTTTCATATTGTTTCATGTTGTTTCATATTGGTTTCATATTGTTTCATACTGTTTCAAATTGTTTCAAATTGTTTCATATTGTTTCATATTGTTTCATATTGTTTCATATTGTTTCATATTGTTTCATATTGGTTCATATTGTTTCATATTGTTTCATATTGTTTCATATTGTTTCATATTGTTTCATATTGTTTCATATTGTTTCATATTGTTTCATATTGTTTCATATTGTTTATTTGTTCATTAGGTTTTCATATTTGTTTCATATTGTTTCATATTGTTTCATATTGTTTCATATTGTTTCATATTGTTTCATATTCTTTCATATTCTTTCATATTGTTTCATATTGTTTCATATTGTTTCATATTGTTTCATATTGTTTCATATTGTTTCATATTGTTTCATATTGTTTCATATTGTTTCATATTGTTTCATATTGTTTCATATTGTTTCATACTGTTTCATATTGTTTCATATTGTTTCATATTGTTTCATATTGTTTCATATTGTTTCACATTGTTTCACATTGTTTCGTTTTGTTTCATATTGTTTCATTTTGTTTCATATTGTTTCATTTTGTTTCATATTGTTTCATATTGTTTCATATTGTTTCATATTGTTTCATATTGTTTCATATAGTTTCATATAGTTTCATATAGTTGCATATAGTTTCATGTAGTTTCATGTTGTTTCATATTGTTTCATATTGTTTCATCTTGTTTCATATTGTTTCATTATGTTTTCATATTGTTTTCATATTGTTTTCATATTGGGGTTTTCATATTGTTTCACATGGGTCACATTGTTTCACATTGTTTCATATTGTTTCATTTTGTTTCATATTGTTTCATATTGTTTCATATTGTTTCATATTGTTTCATACTGTTTCATATTGTTTCATATTGTTTCATATAGTTTCATATAGTTTCATATAGTTTCATATAGTTTCATATAGTTTCATATTGTTTCATATTGTTTCATATCGTTTCATATCGTTTCATATCGTTTCATATCGTTTCATATCGTTTCATATTGTTTCATATTGTTTCATATTGTTTCATATTGCTTCATGTTGCTTCATGTTGCTTCATGTTGCTTCATGTTGCTTCATGTTGCTTTTCATATTGTTTCGTATTGTTTCGTATTGTTTCGTATTGTTTCATATTGTTTCATATTGTTTCATATTGTTCGATATTGTTTCATATTGTTTCATATTGTTTCATATTGTTTCGTATTGGTTCATATTGGTTCATATTGGTTCATATTGGTTCATATTGGTTCATATTGTTTCATATTGTTTCATATTGTTTCATATTGTTTCATATTGTTTCATATTGTTTCATATTGTTTCATATTGTTTCATATTGTTTCATATTGTTTCATATTGGTTCATATTGTTTCATATTGTTTCATATTGTTTCATATTGTTTCATATCGTTTCATATCGTTTCACATTGTTTCATATTGTTTCATATTGTTTCATACTGTTTCATACTGTTTCATATTGTTTCATATTGTTTCATATTGTTTCATATTGTTTCATATTGTTTCATATTGTTTCATATTGTTTCATATTGTTTCATATGGTTTCATATTGTTTCATATTGGTTCATATTGGTTCATATTGGTTCATATTGGTTCATATTGGTTCATAGTGTTTCATAGTGTTTCATAGTGTTTCATAGTGTTTCATAGTGTTTCATAGTGTTTCATAGTGTTTCATAGTGTTTCATAATGTTTCATAGTGTTTCATAGTGTTTCAGAGTGTTTCATAGTGTTTCATAGTGTTTCATAGTGTTTCATAGTGTTTCATAGTGTTTCATAGTGTTTCATATTGTTTCATAGTGTTTCATAGTGTTTCATTTTGTTTCATTTTGTTTCATTTTGCTTCATTTTGTTTCATTTTGTTTCATATTGTTTCATATTGTTTCATATTGTTTCATATTGTTTCATATTGTTTCATATTGTTTCATATTGTTTCATATTGGTTCATATTGGTTCATATTGTTTCATACTGTTTCATACTGTTTCAACCTGCTTCATATTGTTTCATATTGTTTCATATTGTTTCAAATTGTTTCAAATTGTTTCATATTGTTTCATATTGTTTCATAGTGTTTCATATTGTTTCATAGTGTTTCATAGTGTTTCATAGTGTTTCATAGTGTTTCATATTGTTTCATATTGTTTCATATTGTTTCATATTGTTTCATTTGTTTCATATTGTTTCATATCGTTTCATATCGTTTCATATCGTTTCATATCGTTTCATATCGTTTCATATCGTTTCATATCGTTTCATATTGTTTCATATTGTTTCATATTGTTTCATATCGTTTCATAGTGTTTCATAGTGTTTCATAGTGTTTCATAGTGTTTCATAGTGTTTCATAGTGTTTCATAGTGTTTCATAGTGTTTCATATTGTTTCATATTGCTTCATATTGTTTCATATTGTTTCATATTGTTTCATATTGTTTCATATTGTTTCATATTGTTTCATATTGTTTCATACTGTTTCATAGTGTTTCATATTGTTTCATATTGTTTCATATTGTTTCATATTGTTTCATATTGTTTCATATTGTTTCATATTGTTTCATATTGTTTCATATTGTTTCATATTGTTTCA